TTTCACATAAAATTCACATAAATGCCTTTTAAGCATATTGACTAAACTTGAATGTTAAAAATTAAAGACATACTTATGGTTTATAAATGATCAAAATTGTCTCACAAATTTACTCATGAATTAATAACTCTATTTTAGACTTAGAACGCACATGATCTTCTTATATTATATATCTCCATGATATAAATGGAAAATAAGGAAGGGAAAACAAAACGTCATAATGTGAAGGAAAAGAAATAACTTAATAGTTGATACCAGTTTATTCAGTAAGCATGATCTCAGTTTTTGTGACCTTCATCTCTTTGTATCTGAAGGATACAAAGAAAGTTTTCATCCCAACTTTGAGAATTGTAAATAAAAAGTTAAAATGACAAATTGAGTTCTACAGTTTTCTTAAAATTAACATACTTGTTCACAGGCAGGAGTATTTATAAGACATGGAAGAGTAAAAAATATCACTCAGTTCTCTGGGTATAGTAAGAAATTATCTTTTCTTTTTGTATACAAAGTAAATATTGTGAGTCTTTCTCAAGGGAGGAGACGCCCGTGCTGGACAGATGTTTCCACAAGCTGAGATGGCCATTTCATTAACACACTATCTTTCTCCATCTTCTAAGACATTGCTTCTAGGAGGAAGGAGCAGACTGTATTTCTAAGTTCTGAGACTGGGCTTCAGACCGTATGATGCTCAGCCGAGCCCCTTCATTCTGCATGTGAACCTGTTTGGCGGTGAGATCACTTATTGCCTATGCCCTACATGCTTTCAGGCTTGCACTCACTCTTAGGTTGTCCAAAAAGTCTAAGATTTAAAGCTGAATTTGCCTTATTCTAGAGCTTAAGTGTTAAGTGTTACAATGGGCCCGCATCTATATCAGGTCCAATAATAGAGTATTTCAATATCGTATTATTTGGGGGACAGTTATTCATTTGTTTCTGAAATTGTTAGTGAATAGCATTGTGATATATTGTCTGGTATAACTGCTGAATGTGACCACATAATCCGAGAGATGCTAGAAATTATTCTACATTTCTCAAGAGATGATATAGCACAGTTCTTTCTCAATAATCAATATTCTATCTATTGTCAAAATCATGAAGACAGAACTACTCACATCCCAAGAATATCAATGATATGAAAAATAAGTAATAAAAAGGAAAAGCCACAATACAAGGTAAGGTTATTTTAATTTTAAATTATTTCACTTAATTATGAATGCATCCCAAATAATATGTATGTACAAAGAATTTACATAAACATATGTATATACATTAAAAAGAGGAATAAAAGTTCATATTAAGAAAGAATTTATGGGAATACTGTACAAATACTATCTCAACTGTCCTATTATAAATGGATTTTATGTGTCTTAGTCTCATGTATTTTATTTTACATAGATGTCAATCTTATATACATTAAATATGACATCTTTGGAAGAACACATCATAATAGTTGATTAAATTGATCATGTAAAGAATTTTATGTAGATATTCTTCAATCTTATTTTATTATCAAATTATTTATGCATAAGTTTATCATAACTTCTTTTCTGTGTGGGTCATTTTTCCAGATTACTTACATTTTCCTATTTCTTGTCTATCTTGTAGTCAAGTAGACATCTTATATTTCCCACCTTATAAGTTGGATAATATATTCTTTTTTTTTTAGACAGGGTCTCACTATGTATTTGAGACTGACCTGGAACTCACTATGTAGCCCAGGCTGGTCTCAAAATCACAGTGATCCTCCTGCCTCAGCCTCGTGAGTGCTGGGATTATAGGCCTGCACCACCACACCTGGCTTGGATAATATATTCTTTAGCTTGTGAAGCAGACCTGTACCATCCCATTTGAGTAGCTAAATACAAAGGAAAGGAAAAATTAATGTGGAAAAAATAACTGCCAGGCCAGAAAGATAAGCACTGACTAGACAAAGTGTCCATACTGTATTATTTATATCAGGATTTTCTTAAATACATTATAAAAATAAAAGGTCCTAAGGGTAGATTCCGGGTACTGAGGATAATAGCTATAACTTAACACTAACAAAAGAGAGAATTTAAAATGCAGAGTGTGTACTCCAACTTGTACGAATGGTGACCAAAAAACATAAACTGTACATAGAAAAAGTGGGGAAAATCTTGTCAATACCAAAACATAGATAGTGTGAAAAATTAAAACAATTTCTATGTGAGGATCCCTGTAAGACTTTCTTGGCTCTAGCTTTCCTGCAAACATCAGAGGTGATCTTAGATGATTCTTCCTGCACTGCTAAGAGTCAGATGCTGGACTAATTAATGTAGGAAAATATTCCTGGCTATTCCCTAACACATTTCTCACATTCAGCTGTAACCTCCTAATAAGGTTTTCCTTTTTTAAATTCTTTTTTCTTGCTTTATTTTCTTTTTTATTTTTTTATTGAGTTTATTGGTACAATGTAGGTATACAATACAATTACATTCATCATTGGGATTCTGTACCTTTACATAATAGGTCTTGTTCTCATTTTTTCCCCTTGTCCCTGCCCTCCCTTCACCACCTCCTCCGCTCCCCATTTACAAACACTTTATTTCCATTTTTTCAAATTCTCATATTTTTTTCCTCTCCCTTATTACCTTTCCCCCACCCTTCCCACTTTCCCTACACCTTTACCCCTTTACTTCCTATTTCACATTATTAATTATCTCATTAGGATCCTGTGTACTATTATAGTTTTTTACCCCAAAGAAACTATTTGGTATTTCAGTTAAAGAAATCTCTATATGAACATTAAAAATAAGGAATCCTAAAATAAAACTAAAAAAGAAAGTAAAAGAGAAAAGGCAATGATGTAACATTAAAATAATTCTTAACTCTGAAGATGAAAATGGTCCCTGAACATATTTAAATTGCTTCTCACTCTTATAGTCTTATCTTATTCTTTTTTCATTATTTAGAGAATACTTTATTAGTATTTAGTACGATGTGTTACCCCTGTACACATGGAAACAAAATAAAAAATAAAAATAAAAATAAATTAACATTTCTAGACCAATATGGTTGTCCGTTTCTGTACAATGCCAAGTCAACACAGTAAATTGGGATGACTTTTTCCAAAGTTGGCAGCACCATTAAAGTTTCCCAAAATTCAATATATAAAGACTAATAATAGTATGTTATGCATCGATAGCAGCAACAGCTTTTCCAGGTTCTGCAGTCTTCTGAACAAAATTATAGATATTCAGCACATTCCACTAAAAAACAAACAAACAAAAAAAAACAAAGAAAAGAGTAATATCCAGACAACAGCAAAGTTTTGTTGCTGTTGTGGTACCTGGCACCATTTTTTCTATTAGCCTCTTAATCATCATCTGGAAAGAGAACATTCTAGAGTAATATCATTAAATATAGCTCTGATAAAGCACGTTCCCTACTATGTATCATAAAGCAGGTACAAGATATTTTACATTCATAGAGGTATGATACAGTACTGTCCTACATCAATAATACTAAACTTTGGAATAATATCAACTCCATGATTCTAATAAAATTGTTGAAATATATTCTCTTTTTATTACCCAATAATGCAATGTTATAAAAGGTTTTATTACACTAAAAATATACTCAAGAGAAGAACAGCAATATCATCCTTCTTTTGAAATCAGAGATTTTCTATTCTATTGCCACCTGCAATATTTTCTACTTGAATACACATTTAAAGATTGGAAATGTGGGGGTGGAAAGGATATGGATGGAAATAATACTCTGAACATATTTATTATGCCAACAACTCAATATAATGCATCTTTGATGGTGTATAATTAGATATTAAAATTTCTCATAACTAGAAATGTCCTCAGTCAGTGGGAATTATTATAGATAATTTCAGGTAATCTGGGAATAATTTGGCTAGCTAAAAGGCTTAATATATAACACATCCAGTATAAGAAAAATTAATTTGGTCTTCATATTAATGCTCTAACTATAACAGAAATTGAAAATTCACATAAAACCTGAGAAAACTAATAATTTTATTACTTTTTCAAATAAACTTAGAAATGATATGACAATAAGAAAATTATCTCTCAAAATTTACTGCCTTTTCCCTAAAGAATTACATATTTTTACATAAAGATTGGAGTTTTATTTATATTCATTACTGATTTAATTTAGATTCCTAAACTTTATTTTCATTAATTCCCATGTTTTATTTTGTCTGATTTCGTTTCTCTCACTCTCATATTTCTAAAAGGAAACTGAAGTGTGTGTAAAGTAAACATTTAGTACAGTTTCGTAGAAATATCAATCGCAAAATACCATTCCAAATTGTGTCCTAGCCCATGTTCTTGATATCTTTTAGGGTTTAATTAAGATATCAGGAGGACTACAAATATCAGAACAAAAAGTACAGTGAGCAATTTAAAGATAGCTATGGGTAGAAAGAAAGTAGATTTGAGATGTTTTTGTTTTCACTTATAGTATATTTTGCTGTGAAATCACTGTCAGTTGAAAAACCACAAATAGTTCATAAAGTAACAGGAAATGGAATAATCTATCATTCCTGCTGGCTTAAGGGTGCATCCCTTGTAAGCCTGTTTTATGGGACAGTAAAGAGGATGGCGCTAAACGTGGCTGGTGTGACCCTGAAGTCCACGGATGGGAAATACACGGATAGCTCTGACAGAACTGTTCACCAGAGAACAATTTGCTCCATTTACGTGATCAGAGGTAAAAATTGGGGACTTTATTTTAAATCTTTTATTTTAAATGGAGATAATGTAATTCATGAAAATGTGCATTAAGTTTTAGAGAACTGGTAGTTAATCTTTTCTGGAAGTTTGGAGGTTATGGAAAATTGAATCAAACATATTTAAGATTATGAAATCAATTTTTATCAAAATTATTAGAATAACATTTTTGGTTAGACATTGCACAGTGATACACACCAAAACAATACCACAAAACCATCAGAGAAACAAACTAATCAAATGACCCCCCTGCACACAGGGTGTGCTGATACTTACTTGGCGTGGCGGATATCTGGCAGGGACCTCTCTAGAGCAATATTATTGCTGACAAAAATGTTGAAACCATTCTCCCTGTAAGCCGAGTCATCATTGTCCTCTTCAGTGAGCGGGTAGGGCTTGCCCTGTTCACCTTTCCCTAGTGGGAAAAAACAAAGTCAAATTTTCAACTCGGGAAAAAAATGTCGTATTCTAGCACAGAAACTCAAAATTGGCGGTTATCAATTTAAAATAACCGTTGCTCTGTGACACACACGTTTCTAGAAGAAAGATGCTGAATTATTTAATTTTTTAATGTGGGAAAATCGAATATACTACAATAAAAAAATAAACAGTACAGAAATAGAAAGTATAAGCTCCCTTCCCAGATGGAACCACTGTACAGATTTCAATGTATGTTTCCTAACAGTCGTATGAGATTCTGACAGACGTATTTCTTTATTATTTTTCCCCAAATAATTATTGATCCTTTACTTCCAATAATTGATACTATTTCATTATACTCTAGTATATATCATTGCACTAAAGGTTTGCTTTGTGTTATTTTTAGCTTTTCTTTATTTCTCCATTATAAATATGTTAAAATGCTTATTTCATATTATCCCAGTTACATATTTTTATATTCATAAATTCCTAGAACTAGAATTTCTGGAAAAATCTTTATTAGTAAGCATAGTATTTTCATACATCCTGAGAAACATTGGATATTTTCATATCTAACCCTAAATATATATTATTAATATTTTAATTAGAGATATATTTCTGAAATCATAAAATGATTGTTCAGGGTTTTTAAAATAATACTTTGGAGATTTTTTTTTTTTTGGTTCCAGGGATTGAACTCAGAACCTTGTGCTTGCAAGGCAGATGGTTAAATCCCTGGCCCAGTAGAGCTTTTTGTATACTATGTTTATTAAATATTTGTTAGTTACATATGATGTAACATATGGTGCCAATATTTTGTGAATTTACTCACTTAAATCTAAGCTAAATCATTTTCTTCAGGATAATTTTATTTTATAATTTTCTTCATTCTTTCCTCCCATCCTCCTATTTCTCTCTTTCTTTTTCTTTCTTTCTTTCTTTCTTTCTTTCTTTCTCTCTTTCTTTCTTTCTCTTTCTTTCTTTCTCTCTTTCTTTCCTTTCTCTTTGTTTTCTCTATCTCTCACTGTCCCTCTCTCTGTGTCTTTCTGTATCCTTGTTTTCTCTCTCGATCTCTCTCTTCAGCCTCTTTCTCTCTCTATCTCTCTCTTTAGTACTAGGGATAGAGCCCAAGGCTGTTGCACTAAGCTCCAGCTCCAGCCTTTCTTTCTTTTTATTTTTTGAGACAGTTCTTGCTAAATTGATAAATTGTCCAGACAAACCTCTACCTTATCATCCGCTCCTGCCTCAGTTTCCCAGCGTACTAGAATTATAGGTACACTCAATATTTATTTTTTTCCTTTGAACTTATTGGTACTTTGTAAGTATACAGGACAGTTACATGTACCTTTGGGATCTTGTGCCTTTTCATGACATCTTGGTTCTCATTTTTTTCCCCTTGTCCCTGCCCTCCCTTCACCCCCTCCACCTTTCCCTATTTACAAAGACTTTGTGCCTGTTTCTTCCTTTTCTCATGTCTTTTTCTTTTCCCTAATTTCCTTTCTCTTACCCTTCCCCCTTCCCCTACACCTTTCACCTTTTTCTTCCTATTTCACATTATCAATTATATAACTTGAATCTTATTTACACTTTTAGTTTTCACATCAGGGAAACTATTCAGTATTTACATGTGTGTCCTATTTATTTAACTTAAGAGCATGGCCTCAATATGCATCCACTTCCCTATAAATGACTCTAGTTTCTCACTCTTTATGGCTGAGTAATATTCCTTTCCATAGAAAAAACACATTTTTTTTTTTTTTGATACTGGGTATTGAACATGGGCCCTTGTGCTTGTGAGGCAGACAGCAGAACCACTAAGCCAAATACATAGCCCAAAGAAACACATCTTCTTTATCCAGTCTCCAATTGATGGCCAATTGTGCTACTTCCAAATTTTAGCTATTACAACCTATGCTGTGATAAACCTAGGTGCACATATATTACTGTAGTATGATTCTCTTAATTCTTTTGGAAAGATACCCAGCAGAGGGATGGCTGGGTCAAATGGTACCTCCAGTCCCAGCTCTTCGAGGTATCTCCATATTGATTTCCATAGTGGTTGCACCAGTCTGCACTCCCACCAACAATGGAGAAGAGTTCCTTTCTCCCGACAACCCTGCCAGCATTTGTTACTGGTTGATTTCCTGATAGCAGCCATTCTTTGTGGGCTGAGGTGGAATCTCAGTGTTGTTTTCATCTGCATCTCTGCAATGACCAGTAATGTTGAACATTTTTTTCATGTGTTTATTTGATGCTTTTTACTTCTTTGAGAAATGTCTGTTCATTTCAGAAGCCAATTTTTGAACTGGGTCTTTATATTTGGGGGCGTGATTCTTTATGAGTTCATGCAACATTTATTTATATATAATATTTGGAAAGAAGTTTTATGTCTAAAGTTTTTCATTATTTCTTCATAATTGCTATATCACTTCTAAATTTCTTCATTATTTAATATAGGTTCGTGAGCTCAGAATTTTACTAAAGTTTTATTTTTGTTTTGCTGATTAAAAGTTTTGAAAGATTTGGAAATTATTTTGTGTCAAAAGTGAGATAAGCACTATTTTTATTTTTATGGGTGTTTAACCAGTTGTAGGAACACAATTTATTAAATAATTTATTTTCCTTCCTTATGATTAAATATATATGCAAGTTTTGTACACTTTCTTAAGCACATTCACAAATTTTCACGACATCCCACTGTTGTGTCAATTTTTTACTTTGGAAACATTGCAGCACGAATATTTTTTCATGTTTGGAAAAGACAGTTGTCACTTATGTTGTTTTTCAGGTTAATTTTACATGTCTTTTTTTCAATGTGAACTATTTAATAAAATATCCCCTCTAGATTGTGTTTTTGAGATTGTATGGAATTTATTAATTCAGCCTTAGAAAACAGATTTATTAATTCATTCCTAGTTATCCCTTGGATCTCAGTGGAGTTTCATACAATTAAAAAAATTTTTTTTGGTATATGTTAGTACTGCACAGTGATTACTTTCTTCATGGAGAGCTCGTACATATGCACACACATTTTAATTCTTTTCTCTGTCTCCTTTCCCTGTTCTCCCTGCCCCACCCTGCATCTCTGGATCCCCTGCCCTTTTGTGAAAGTTCTATCATAATCATACAATTTGTTTTGATTTTTATATGGGATGATGGAAAAATACAATGAATGGATATTTTTAAAAAATACCTATAATAGTGAAAGACACACCAGGAATGATGAGATAAGTGTGTTTAAAATGAGCGGAGTGGCATCTTTACTATTTTGTGGGAAAGTATTGGTAATGCGTCTTTTATTGTAATAAATTACTTAAATTTAAACACCACATCTGCTTATCGCACCTCATTAATCAGACATTTAGGACAATAAAAATATTATGTTATATACTTTTTATGGCTTGTAGCTAGATGTCCCCCCAAAACCTCACATTCTCATAGGTGGGGCTTTTCAGAGGTGGCTGGATCTAGAGTGTGTGAAGATGGATTAAGAATATGTGACATCTAAACCAGTCCACTAATTGGTTTACCATAGTTCTGGGTGTGGATCATGGGAAGGGCAACCCCCAGTGTGGGCAGCACCATCTAACGGTTTTGGATTCTGGATGGGATAAAAATCCCTAAGTCTTACTGTTCGTTGCTTCCTGTCTACCCTGCCATAGGCTTTTTCTTCTCTGCCATGTCCCCTTGCCATGCAACCTGTCTTGGAGCCAGGTGACTACGGACTGACACCTCCACAAACTGTGAGCTAAAATAAACCTTTCCCTCTTTAACTTGTGGGTGTCTGGTATTGTATCCCAGCAACGGGAAGAGTAAGTAGGACAATTCTCATCCTCCTTATTCACCAAATATCTCACCGTGCTACTTCTGCCTGTTCTCCAAAGTCAAAATGACCGTGGAAGAGAAACAGTTTGAAACAAATCAGGATACAGAGGCAGCCATGACAATGCGACTAAAGACTTTCGTAAGAGGACTTCCAAAACCGCTTCTGTAAGAACAATGAGCTAAGTGTATTCAATGTGAGAGGGACTCTTCTGAGGTGAATTAAAAGCAATGTGAATTTCACTCAGTATTTTTTTAATGTGTTCTTTTTCTTCATTATAGTCCATGTGATTTTTTTAGTACATTTTTCTAATTAACATGCTCGAAAGTTACTGATTTTTCTACTTACTGTTTTATTAGGTACCGTACTGAACTTATATCTTCAAATAATTTTTTTAAAGTTTATAGCTTTTTGAGTAACAATCCTTTTATTTTGTGCATCACACCTCTTCCTCCCCTTTTCTTCATGAATAACTCTTACGGCTTTTTTCTTTTAATTCTATAACTGCGTGTCATTAAGTTTGTGGAGCTGACAGCCACTATAACTAGCAGGAAGTGATAAGAAATTACTTGCTCAGGGAACAGGCTAAAAATCTCTCTGATTGTGGAAAAGCATTTTAGGTGTTTTTCTTTCAACCTTAAAAAACAAAAACAGAAAACACCTTATATTTCTCCAGTATCTCCATTTGATTTCTTCGAAAACATCACTATTTTAATTCAAAGAGAAAAGAGTAATTGAGAAATTCCACTTATACAGCAGAACCCATTATGCATTAAGTATGTTAAAGTTCTGTATACACATCTTTCTTTCAACGTACATATACCTCGAAATAAACATTGGTCTACACAACTAGCATATAAATGAATAGTATTCAGATTACTATTTGAATATTTGTATGCCCTAAATGTGATGTATACATACACCTGAGACTTTCTTACATTTATGTAGAAATATTTAATTTTGAGCTTTCAAATGTAACTGCCTTTAAGACTAAAAATATAGAAATTTAAAGCTATGCACTTGTTAAAACATTTTTTAGCTATTTATTTATTTATTTATTTATTTTTTGGTGTTTTGAGACAGGGTTTCACTATGTAGTTGAGAATGACCTGGAACTCACTAGGTAGCCCAGGTTGGTCTCGAACTCAAAGTGATCCTCCTGTCTCAACCTC